GCACTTCTATTTCTCATTCAGATTTGTTCCTTTGTGTTTTTGTGTTTATGTTGTCATAAAAAGAATTTCTATATTTTCTTTGTAGGAAACAGGTTCAACTATAGCTTAAAAATTACAGCACTGCCACGGAGTTAAAGACTAATAAAATCTAAGCCCACTAAAGGAGTGGAACTGGCCAAAAATGACAACAGCTGGCCTCTTTGTGAATCAGCTGCTACAGGGCTATGAAGCCAGGATAGCATAGTAGGGTAAAATTTTGGAGTTTCATACAGTTGGCCCTTAGAAAAAGTACCTTAAAGTCAAATTTTCTAATAAACACTCGGTATCATTTAGGAAAAAGAATCTACATATGATATTCAATAAAGTTAAGAAAGATACATGTATTGGTCAGCTTTCCCGTTGTTGGGACAAAATACCCAACACCAACAAATTGAAAGAGGAAAGGTTTAATTTGACTCATAGTTTCAGAGTATTCAGTCCATGGTCAACTGGCTCCAAGGCAGAAATATCATTGCAAAAGAGCACAGCAGAGTAAAGCTGCTCTCTTAAATGGCTCCCTGGAAGCAGAGCACAAGTGAAAAGACCCAATGAGAGATATACACTGCAAAGGCACATTCCCAGGGACCCACCCCCACCTGGGCATCACCTCCTAGTAGCACATTAGGAGTACAGCACTCCATGGCCCAGTCACCTCTCCAGGAGTCTCTTCATCCAGTCAGGTTAAGAATTAAGATTAATTGGCACAACACAAATCAAACAAAGAAGAGCAGCGATATTTCTGTAGGATTTTGTGTTTTTTGTGTCATTGTTAATTTCCCAGAAAAAAAACTAGCCCACAATTTTCTTCAAAACTTTTACCTAGAAATGCCATTTTCATAAAGCATTTATATCAAAGAAGTGGTGTTTGCAGAACTCACTTTAGTGAAAGCTGTCTTGATGGTATTGCCAAACCTACGGTAAAAACCCATGGTTTCTGAATGAGATGCCCCTCTCCAGCAATACAACTCAACTGTAGGTGAAGCTACTGGAAATGCTCCCTGTTTCAATTTGGCTTGGGATTTGGGTTTTGATTTGGTTTGTGTGTGTGTGTGTGTGTGTGTGTGTGTGTGTGTCTGTGATACTGGGGATTGAACCTAGGGCCTTCAGCTGAACTACATCCTGCAACTTTTTTTTTTTTTGAGACAAGGTCTTATTAAGTCTCTGTATTGCCCAGGCTCTGATTGAACTTGCAACCCTCCTGCCTCATCTTATTATTTTGGAGAATTTCCTTCCTGTGCACTAGATTGAGTAAAAAATAAAAGCTGTGACAAAAATGCATTGCCTGTTTATATGTATATATACACGTAAGTCTACATTTTGTAACAGTGAATAAGCAAGATAGTACATATTCTGTATAAGATACGTCGACATTTTCTTATTAATTTTCTTAACTACATCTAATTTTTCTAAAAGTTATTGCAAGTAACTTGATTTTTCTGACTTAGGAGAAAAATTCCAAGCTCCTATGAAAGTTCAATCTGCAATAATATAAATACAACAAGAATACAAGGCTATGTATTACTTTTTCAATTTTCCATAAAACAAGATTATTTTAAAACACACATACAATAGAGTTTTAATAAAGTCAACTAAATCTGACACACAAGTTTAAATATCATAGGGTTTCTCTTCAATGAGAAACCCAAAACATAAATAAAGAGCAAAATAAAAGATAATAGGAAGTAGAGGGTTCTTTTACAAATAAGAAGAGGAAAGAGATGGAAGAAGGAAAGAGAGAAGAGAGGGAAAGGGGATACAAAAAAAAAAAGAACTGTAAGAAAAAAATGGAAAAAGAGCTTTTGCAAATGGGAAGAGGACCAAGAGATGGAAGGACCAGGGAGGGACAGGAGGGGTCCGAGATGAAAAAAGAATTAAGATGTGTTATGTACATGTACCAACTGCCTGCAAGAAATGTAATTATTATGCACTGCAAGCACATATAAAAAAATTTTTAAAACAAATGGAAAATTTCCAGAGAAATGGGCACAAAGGATATAGGTTTGAGTTGCAATGAATATTCCAAACTTATACATGCATAAAAACATATTGAACACTTGTCCACAGGAAATAGGAGACATGTATTGGCAGAAATCTACTACATGAATTCCCCTCCATGAAGCACTAAGATTAAAAGCTCTCTTCAGAGGAGAGCTCAGACATTCAGCTCTAGCCTCCTACTTTTACTTCTATTTAAATTTAGTCCTGGTTCCATCCTCTGGATTTGGTCTTGCTGAGCAGAAGAAATGCAAAAAAATTTTTAAAAGTCTAGCTCTGTTTCAGCCTCCTTGCTCTCCTCCTAGGGCCTGCATCCTCCTAGCTGTATCTTTCCAGAACCCCCAGAGAGCTGAGTATCTCTCCATTCACCTGAGTCCCTCCATGGCTATGGACCCTTCTACCTTTCACCCCCTTACCTTCTGACGGCCACAGCGCCTTCTCTGGTGATCAGTTCTTAGACCAGCTTTGATTTCTAGCCTTACTTTGTGGATATGGCTCCCAGCTATCTTACATCTCATGGTCTCTGAAACCATCTAAATGTATAGCCTTAATTAAGTAAGTAAATCTATCTTCAATCTTCAATCCATCTTTACATTATCGCTTCTTCTCCTTCAGAGTCCCTGTACTCAAAATCCTAATGATGTACTTACTATTCATTAACCCAGATACCCTATAGTGACCATTTGCCATCAGACTTTCAATAGTAGTTTTGCATGTTCAATTCTACTTTCTCCATAGCCTATTGCCTGTGAGCCCTGTTCTCTGCTAGGTAAATCTTATCAATTTAGACTTTTGCTACCATGGCTAAAGTTGTTGAGGCAACTTTCACTTACAAGGTACTCAACTGATTATTTATGCCATCTTTCTGCATATGTGCCTTTAACAGTTTTTTAGGGTGGAATCACTGGAGTTAGTATCACAAAAAGTGTCCAAAATATTGAAACCAAAAGATAAAAATCTCTTTTTCCTTTCCAGTGAATCTTAGTGATGGCTTTTGTAATATATTTGTTTGGGAAAGGCTAAAGAGAGATTTTTGAACTGAAGTAAATCGACGTGATTAAAGGGAAACAAAGGCCCATTCCATTTGCCCCTAAGACATATAGGCAAATGCTAAAATCATTTTACAGGTTTTTGGTAAAGAAGTAGCAAAGTAGCATAGGGATTTTTTTATATTTCAAAAGAAACTTCAAATTTAAACTCTGATAACTTACTGATACTCTAAAAATATAAGAATCTTTTCCAGAATTGTAGCTATGCCAACAGTGCTCACAGGTACAAATGCTCTCTACTTACAGCAGAAGAAAAAAGAAAATTCAAGGCAGAATATTGTGACTATTCAGTCCAAATTTTACCCATAATAAATCTGCTATAGCTAGGCTGTCAATCATAGTTATACAGAGAGGATGACAATCCAGACCCTCTTGTGATGGACTTTAAAATTGTGGGAATGCAGTATAGTGAAAAGACAGTGCAGTTATCAAGCCCCAGGGTGGTAACAGACTCCCGCAATGGTGTGAAGCCAGACTGCCTGGGTTTGCCCTGTCAGCTCTGTATGAACTGGGCCACTTCACCAGTCTGTGTTTCAGTCTTCTCCTTTGTTAAATGGACTAAACAGAAGCGGTTTTGTGACATTGTTATGAGGATTAAATGAGACAATAAAATGGCTTAAAATAATAGACGATTATTATTGCTATTGAGTCAACACAAGTCAAGTACACTGTCAGCCATGCTACATAGAACGAACTTGTGTTGTGGGCAAGTACAAGCCAGGGGACATATATAAGTGTGACCTGGCCCTTTTCAACCTTTTTCAGAAGAGATTGTGGCCTTAGTCACAGACGTAGTACTTCAAAGATTTAGATTTCTGAAGAAGTGGAAACAAAGTGAATCTTACTGCCTCATTGGTACTGAACTATGTATCCACATAGGCTAAACAGCAAGGGGCCTCAAAGTCTGATCAACTCAATACAGGTTCAGACAAGATCAGAGACTAGAAAACCTAAGTCTTGTTATAAAGTGTTCCTTCTCCTACACTCTTCTTTCCCTTGGGTCAAGTTGCCTGCTAGAGGGCCGAGTGTTGTATTTCTTAGCACCCTATCCTATTTGCTGCCCTTATTTCTTTAACATTCCTAAAACCACGTTTCTGAATTTTGATGAAAAAATAAAGTGACATCATTTTTAAGTCTCAATTTTTAGGAGGAGGCTTTATTTTCCGTTTAGGAGTCTTGAGTTAAACAGGCAAGGCTTTACCCTTAATAAAACCACATCCTAGCATTTCACTGGTATTCGTTTCGTTAGCTGTCCCTACCATCCTCACACAAGCAAACATTTCCTTAATTCCAATGAGACTCTTTTCCTGTGCAAATGGTACAAGATTCTGCATTTTATTGAGGTGTGAGCTAAGTTGGCTGTCCAAATGAATGGAGAAACTTAAAATTTTGCCACATACCTAAATGTCTAGAAACCTACCTCCTCTACAATACATATTCCTGTTAGTATCTGCCAAGAACACTATGCACTCTACATCACTGAAAACTTCATTTTCCTGGTCTTCCTGTCTACCTCCTTTTATTAATTGTATATATATTGTTCTAAGAATTGCATATGGATTCTTAAGCAAATTTTTATGGTTGTCTCAGCCCTTATCCTCTATTGGCTATGAGCACTTTAAAAGCGGACTCTTCTGAATTCCAACATAATTTTTGCTGCTTAGCATATTTATTAATTCATTTCACAAATATTTATTGAGCACCCATGATGACCAGGTATAACTAAAATTAAAAGTTTAGCACAGTGAAGTATCCTTTCCACAAAAGTTACAGGTTCTGTTGCCATATAGTAAAACATAAAGGGTAGAAGATTAAATAGTGCTGTAAAGTTGTTTTTCAGAAATTATTTCATAATTCCAAAGTAGCAACAATTTCATTTCAAATGACACTAAAATCGCTCTCTCTTATTCTCCACAGGGTAGTGGCCGGAGCCTCCAAGAACCTCATGTCCACACAAAGCTTAGGGATTGTGTTTGGCCCCACCCTTCTGAGAGCTGAAAATGAAGCGGGGAACATGGCCATACACATGGTGTACCAAAACCAGATAGCAGAGCTCATGCTGAGCAAGTACAGTGAGATCTTCGGCTCGGGGGAAGACTGACAGACAAGACAAGTTACTGAATATGTTCACATCTGTCTTGATGCCTAATATTTTTACATTTCTGTAAACATATTTCTGAAATATTTTTTTCCTTTCAAGTGACAGATGCCTTATTCTGTGAAAACTTAACGATGATTTTGTGTATAAGTTCCAAACATTTGAATAAAATAATTGACAATATTTGCCTATATGTGTTCTACATTAACCCCTTTAGCACTGTTCTTCCAGCACTCCTGAAAGCATGTCATGCAAGCCTCTGGATCTTAAATGGTATGTGGATTACAGCACAAAGCCAAAGCCAAGCTGTTGCCCTGATGCTGTTCCCGGGCATCTGGTGTGTGGTTGTATATACTTGGGTGTGTGAGTGGGTATAGGTAACTGTGCACATATATGTGCCTTCTTTTTTTTTTTTTCATATGTGCCTTCTTGCAGTCCATGCTACCTAGGTACATCCCCAACCTTGCCCATGTCCACAGGCACAAGCAAAATAGCTGAGAAGGCAGAAGCTAATAATTTTTGAATAGATTGAGGGAGATCCAGTTCTCAACCAAAACAGAGATATTGTATCTTTGAAGAATATATCCAGCTATTCTCTGCTATATGGTGAAATTGATAAATACAACATGTTGAGTGACGGTTTTTCTGAAAAAAATCACAAAGAATTTACTGCTGAATATGAAGTGGTTGGTGGTTTGTTTGTTTGTTGGTTGGTTTTGGGTTTTTTGGTAAATACTGTCTGTGGTTCCATAAACTTACTACCTTATACATTAGAGGCAAATCAGTGCCCTGCAATTGTGACCTTTATTTTATACAGGAATTGCATAACTGCTCAGTTCTAATGTTAACATCCATTTTGAATCTTCATCAAACTGTATATCTTCCTTTCCCTGGCTGTGTAATTCTATGTAGAATTTTTATTGTGTTTCTGAGGATGCTTTGCTGGTGAATTACATTAAATCCATTTAGAAAGAACTTTTTTAAAAGGCCTTTTTTTCATATGCCCTAAGGATTACTTGACTAGACGTGGATTGCTTTATCCATTTGATGGTTAGTTTTAGTTGTCATGGATAAACAAAAGGTATCTGTCTAGACTATATCAAACAGTGCTTTATTTTGAAAAGTATGTCCTAGCTGAGCACATCTCATGCCTGGTTTTATGGAAATATTCTGCTGATAAAAATGTAGACTTATGTTTGACAGCTTTTTAATAAAATCCAAACGGAATAAATACAACTAATCTAGTGCAATAAAGAGTAAGTCTAGTTATCGATTTGTTTGTAAAGTGAAAAATAAAGCATGGAAATAAAATGAATGAAGCATGGATCCAAAAGCAAATACTTAGAACAACAATAAGCTCAGATCCATAGGCTGTCTGTATTAGTGGGTATCAGAGAGGCATAGGGTCTGTTCAGTCAATGTGCATACAACTCCAGCTCTGCACACAGCTCCAAAAGCCACAAGGCTGCCTGAGGAAAGCCAGGGTTCACTCACCCCTCTTGAATGTCTTCATTTTGGCAAGGGTGCCAGGAAATGTGTTCATGGTCAAAAACAGAGAAGCAACCACAATCAATGATGAAGGGTGGTCTCACCAAGTGGGATGTGTACACATATCAGAAAGTCATAAAGAGTCACGTGAGAGAGAACCTTATGATCTAAAGTCACCCGAACCAGGAAGCCAAAAGATTGGCTCGCTTTAAGCTACCCTTACATGCAAAACTGTAATTATGCTTTTTGGTGGGGTACAGAAACATGCAAAAAGAGCTCAGGCATTCTATTTCAAGTTTCTCTCATTGCCATGACATTCTCAACTAGGTCTTGCCCGAGATTTTCATTACATCTTTTTGAAGAGGGGAACAGCAGATTTTGTAGTTAAAACATAAAATCTTACCCATTCACACATGTCCATCTTTAAAGTTATTCTAGAAGCCTCAGCCAGAAAGGAGTAGCACTGAAAGCCAAGAGAAGTGGCAATACCTGCTTTGAGCAGGGACTCACAGCCCCTGTCTCTGCTGCTTTCCAGATTTATAATCTTCAAAAGCACCAGCTTCTTAATTTCCAATCTGATGGGATTTAGTGTAATTCAAACCCCAGCTGTGTCCTGTCCCTGCCTGCTAAGGGCACTTAATCAGAGAATGTGCTTCTTCTCTAGAGAAAGACCATCCCAAGGTGTTGAGCCAATGTGCTCTTCCATCACAGGATCTGACTTGCACACTCTGAGAGCATAGAAAGAGTTACAGCAAAAGGTTATTTGATTCCATAACATCTTAAAAACAGCAATGACGGTCATATCACTGTTCCAAATTTTAAAGCCAAGAGTGTAAGCATATTATGTTGACTCACGAAGAGATTAGATTTTATAAACCTGATCAATATTCCCCAACAAGAAACCATAAGAAGGCAACAAATCACCTAGTTAAATATGAGCCAGACACAATTCTAAGCATTAGTGATACAAACATAATATAAGGCACATATTCCTAACCTCTGCAGTTTCACTGTCTGGTGAGGAATAAAATTGTCAAATTAATAACAGTTCTATACAAGATCAGGGACTGTGTTAATCAGCTTTCTATTGCTGTGACAAAATACCTGAAATAGACGACTTAATGGAGGAAAGGTTTATTTTGGCTAACAGTTCAAGGGTTCAGTCCATGGTTAGCTGGCTCCATTACTTTTAAGCCTGTGGCAAGGCCAAAACATCATGGCAGAAGGGTGTGACAGAGGAAAGATGCTCACCTTATGGTGGCCAGGAAGCAAAGAGACAGAAAGAGCAAGCCTATGCTGACAAGCCTCCTCCTTCTTCCACTTTTGTTCCATCTGGGCCTCCAGCATGTTGGATGTTGGATGTTGTCGCCATTCAGATCTCTCCTTTCAGTTTTCTGTCTCACAAGCCAATTCTAACTGGAAACACCCCTTCAGATGTACACAGAAGTATTTTACTAGGTTCTTGGACATTTCTCACTCTAAGCAAGTTGGTGATCACAATTAACCATCACATCTTAACCACCAAGATTAGCCATCTTGGAAACCATGTAGTTCAGCACCTGTATATAGATGTACAAAAGATATTTTTGGATGAATGAATGAGCAGAGGCTGTTACAGAAATAGTAACAAAGTCCAATGGGGCCAGAAGACCAAACAACAAATCATACCTGGGGTAGTCAGATGTGGCTTTACTGGTTAGGTAACCTAGGGGTAGTTCCTTCTACTCTTGACTGATGAATAAGATTTACCAGACAAGGAAAAATGTAGAAGAATACCCAGAAGCAGGAATGGCATGAAAGAATGTCATGAGAGACTTGCTATCACCAAGGAAAAGTGAGAAAAAGCTTATTGAGCTAGAGGACAAAGTGTACACCTTGCAATTTGGGACTATGGAGCTGGAGAAAGATGTTGAGGGCAGATGTGACCAAATTATTCAGATTTTATCCTGTAGGAAAAAGGGATGCAACAGAGTCTATAAAATAAGAAATGCACGCAGAAACTTTGTTTCTTAGAGAATCCTAAAATTCACTAGTAGGCAAGAGAAACAAATTACTTTGAGGAGACTTCCATTTTCTTTTATATGCTCTGGTATGTGTGTGTGTGTGTGTGTGTGTGTGTGTGTGTGTGTGTCTTAGCATTTTCTAAGAATATCATTATACTCTTGATTTTAGGAGCATTTTCAGAAATTATAATCTAGTCTATAGAATGGGAACACAAGTCCAGGAACAATCTTCCTGGAAAATCAAGTCAGTTAGGCCATCCTTTTTCAACATGGCCTTATCTACTTAGTATGTGGGAGTTGGCCCTTCTTTTTTTCAGACACAGAAAGCTTCCTGGAGATGATGTGTATTCCGTATACACTGTGTCTGACTTTACTTAGCATGTGCCATATGACAGGATCACCATGCCACAGCTCATAATTGAAAGCCATATGATGGCTCTCCCTATCCAATTAGAAAACAAAGGATCCAATTAAGAAAAATTAGAAAAGCTGTTAAAAGGAAGCAATCATTTGCCAATGGTGCTGTCCTTACAGTTTAACACAGCTAGAAATTGACCTGTACTTCTTTTTTTCACATTTATTTTTGTGAATTATAAGTTAATCACCCTGTCAATTCCTAATTAAAAGGGCCTGCAAAGAATTTGATCCGAAAGGACTGTCACTAAGAGTTCTGGGTCAAATTGCTCTGTTGTCAAAAATGAAAAATAAAAACAAAACAATACCAACTCTCTCCTGGGAACCCAATATTTTTTCTTATTGTATTGGAGATTAATCCCTGGGCTTCATGCTTACTAGGCAAACACTCTACCACTGAGCTACATTCTAAGCCCATAACTCAAATATATACACACACACACACACACACATACACACACACACACACTTTTAAAAGGTTACTTTCTTCAGTAATAATAATCACATCTTATGTCTCCAATTAAGATATATAATCTTTAGGATTCATATTTTTCTCTTTCTTTAGGCCCACGGTTGCAAACTCACATGCTTGGAGGGTCCAGGTGGGTAGCAGAAAAGAGGAAAGAGGAGCAGGTCCAAGCATTATGAAGCAGTAGTTGCTGAAGAAAACTCAAACTTCATTCCTGGCCAAATGGACCAGCGTCTGCTCATCTGGAACTACCGTTGCTTATGTGGGAAACGTGGGCACAATGTTCCCAGACCTTCACATCTTTCATGAGAAGCCAGAAATTCAGAGTCTACATGAAAACTGATATTCAAGGCACCAAATAAACACATGTGAACAGGTTTGACCTAAGAACCTCTATCTCTGTGATCTCAGTGTTAAGCCTTCTGTGATCTCTGATGTTGCAGAGCTTACTCCCCAGAAAATAGTAGTGCACAAAGCAAAGTTTAGAGGTAAGTGTCCGAGACAGAGCAATGTAAAAGAGCAGAAAACAAAGTGCATAGAAGAACTTTCTATTAAGACCCTGGGCAAATTATTTGCTCTGCATGTCTCAAGTTTCTGCTCTGTTAGTAACACACACTTACCTTGCCTCTCAGGACTGTCTAATGGAATTGTATGAAAGAAATTAAAACAGTTAATACACCATGAAATTATACATTGTCCCTAAAGGATGTAGATGATCAGTCTCCTCCTTACTGACTATTAATAACTTTTATGGTCTGAAGATGATGAGAAAAATAGTTGGGATCAAACTCTAAAAACCTTGAATGCCATGACAAAATGTATTTTCCTACATCTCTAGTCACTTTTGAGACTCTGAAAGGTTTTGTTTGTTTGTTTTTAGCAGGAAGATAACTTTATCAGTTCTGTAAAGGTTTTCGTGGCAACATTAAGAAGTAGAGTTTGAAGCAGGGAGCAACTGTAGGCTCCATTGTCAGAAGATTATTTTCATAGTACTATTAATGCAGATCTTAATGTAGATGGGGTATCAGATAGAGAAACTGATATTATGGAGCACCATCCATTTGAAGTTGTCCAAGGCTTTACTCACCACTTCCTATTTATTACTGCCAAATACAAAGCACTACCTCTGGTCGCACAGAACTCCCTAGCAGGGCCATTTCTGGCTTAATTTGTGTGTTGGGGTGAGGGAACATGAGAATGTTCTGTAAATCATTTGGTATTCAACAGTCACCAATTTAGGATATTTTGAACAAGACATTCCCAAGTCAAATGAGTGTTCTTCCTACCAGCGTAATTCCCAGATGGTCACGAGGTCTTTCTATCACACCTGGCTCTGCTTTCTGCTTCTTTTATCTTGGGCCAGTATTGCTTTTCTGAATTTCCAGGGGACCACCAAGAAAACCAAGTCTTGGAAAGATTAATTTTGATTAGCTAACATGTATGGGGTACTTGCTATATGTTTGTTATATATATTGTCTTATTTTATTTTCACAGTTTTATGGGGGAGAGATAGCTTATTATCATTGATTCACATTTAAGGAAATAGAGGAGAAAAAAATGAAATTACC